ATTTTGACGGGCCACACTATTTTGTTCAAAATAAGATCAGAATGGAGTGCCACCATTCATCATTTCCTGCCACAGGAAACATTTTTGCCGAGTTTCCATTTTAAAAGTAAGCAAATTAATGAGTTTAAGACTGATGACTCCCGACACTTTGATGCTACTTTGATCGGAATTGGTTCGGGAATTTGATCGTCTATCCAGGGCTTAAGGCCCTTGTTCACATTACTGTTCACTGTGTACGTTGTTGTGCATTGTGTTCATTGTTGTTAGTGCGGGGTTTTTAGAATGCACCGTCGCTGTGTGCGTCTGTGTACGCGTTAAATGAGTGCAAAAGTGCAGTGCGGCGTCACCATTAGTGTGAGGGCGTCGATTGATTCCTATTGATGCGACTGCATGCTCGGTGACTTTGAAACCGCGGGAAAGCGAGCATTCCAACTGCGAGTGCTCTCCGTCGCCGAAGGAGGTCTTTTCGGAGTCACCGCACTTGCCGGTGCGGCTTGCGGTGAGCGAGTGCGGACTGCGGGTGCGGATGCAGTCATCGTCACTGAATCCAGGGCGATCGACAGCTGGCAGCCGCAACTGCGCCTTGCACCTCCTTCCGCTCGTAATAAAGGACACATTCCGCGAAAGGACCACCATCACAGCTTGTTATTAGTCCCGTGGGCGGTGCGTGTTTCCAGCTTTCGGGCTTAGTTCTAGCCCCCTTCTGATTTTCTTCGCTGGAGGAACTAAATACTAAATATAATGTTTGTAAAAAGTACTGGAGGTTGGAGGATGGGTAGCAGATCAAAGACAGTGTTCGAAACTCACCTTTGAGTTTTAGGAGCCATGTGGCGCATCAAGCCCGATGTTTAGGCGCCATTGAAGATTTTTTAGGGGTCAAATTGACTTTTTGCCCATATATTACGGCGCATTTAGTGAAAAGTAGGCGCAAGATGTTTTCGTGACAGAACTAGTAAGTAGCTGTGATTTGGGGAAGACAAAAGCACTAAGGATGAAATCGTGAAGAATAGAAAACGCTTTCACTTGTAGTGCTGAACATTTCGAATAATCACCTGATATGAAAATTCAGATTTTTAGGGGGCAATTTTTGGGGGCAACGTTGGCGCAGAGTCTTCTTTTTTTAGGCGCCATGACCGATTTTTCAGGCGCATTTGGCGCGTTGGCGCCTGTGAGTTTCGAACACTGATCTAAGACTTCACGGACTACGAGTATTTGGGGGTGCGGTTGACTATAGTCCAAACCTGCAGCGGGGGTCCGAAAATGTTCAGGATTTTAACCCGTAAAACTCTATTTTTTAAACAATTTCACTCGTGAAAAATGATAAGAAGCTCCCCAATATTTTCCTCCCAAAAATCCTTAAAAAAATGGAAAACTGCTTATACAAGATTAAATGGAATGTTTTGTTTTAAGTGGGAGATGGAAAAAATAAACAGACTTTCTGAAAAAAAAAAAAAAATTATCTGGGTAGACTCTCCAATTCAATACATTCAAAAATTTGATCAAATTATCATGGCGCGAAAGTAAATTCTGCTGCTTCTTTCTTAAAATGAAATGATTATCGCACAATCTTAGCAACAAGTGATGTGAGTGCGCTTATATCTAATTAAAGCTGAACAGCTCTCTTCTTTCCTTTTTTGGGGCTCTGGGGGAGGGGGGTCCGGACCCCTCTGGTCTCCCCCTCCTCCGTAAATACGTCAATGCATAAAAGTACTCATCTGCACAGGAAACAAATGGCACGTATGTTGTTTCTAAAATGAGCCAGAAATACACCCCTCCTACTTCCTTATTGCAAAATGTTATCCAGGTATGTGCGGAATCCTAATACGGCGCTTAACGATGGAGACTTGGAGGAAATCACTTTATCCGACTCATTCATAATAGTACCAACCCGCATATGGAAACTAATGGCACATATGTTGTTCGTAAAATTGGCAAGAAAGAGTAGTTCCATATTTCGAAATGTACTCCAATCTTATTATACGTGCGTTAAAGTCTCCTTCGTAAGCACGTTAGATGCAGATTACTTTAATTAATATACAAAGCTATAGACAAAGAAGATGAAGGGAAAATGGACTGGTTGAAATCGGCGGTGGTCATAGACTAAGCGGGAAAATGATCGACTAATCACAAGGTTTTTTGTGGGTAGCCGTTAGTTAGTCTTCACTAACCTGCTTTGTCCATCGCAACCACTCACTTCTACCGGTGTGATAGCTCCGTTTTCTCTTTGTAGTTTTTGTCTATCACTTCATCTATCGAGTTTAATAATCAGCATGCAGTTTTTCATCGTTCCACGTTTTCCGGCTGAGTTCTGGGAATCATTTGCCCACAATTTTTGACCGCGGGTGTCAACTGCCCGACCCCCGATTTTCAAGGTCTGACACGAGTGGTGCCGACTGTCGACTTCAGCCAAGGAACGGGCTGATGCGCTTGGCTTCACGCCGCGGCTTGAGCTCCGGGCATCTGCGGAACCCTCACCGGCGCCCCCCCTCCCCCCGCCGCGCCCTGAAAGGTCAACGGTTTTGGTGGCGTGAAGCGAGTTGCCCACTTTTCCGCCCGAGGCCCGGAGGCTAGCGGGCAAACCTACAAAATTCGTTTCCAGAAAATAGTGACCCACTTTCGGGACGACTTACGGACAAGTGCTGTCTCATGGCTTACACTTACCCGCACCCGCGGTGTCGGTGCTCGGTGGTCGAAGGAAAAGGAAAACTCGCGAGCTGTTGCCAGAATGCGCGGTTTGGAGGAAATTATTCTTTTTTGGGTGGATTGAGCCGAATCACCGTTGCCTAGTTTCCCCTCGTGTTTTATTTTTTCAACGGGAAAATAAATTACATAACCATGGCTAGTGCACGATACCACCCATCTGCAAACTGACGATTTTGCAGGACGAAGAGGAAACTTTGCGATTTTTGTAATTTTGAGGTTAGATTTGCAATTTTTAATACATAATTGCGCAATTGCAGCGCTCCCATTTCGTATTGGGAATCATTAAAAACATCAGCTTGCGTACAATACAAATGTATACTGTAGAATGCGGAATAGTCGCTAAATCATTTTCGCAAAAATTGTCGGGTAGGCGGTATTATTGCTCAAGCACGTCAGGTGCCGATTACTTTAATTGATTGATAGACAAAGCTATGGACAAAGAAGATGAAGCGAAAATGGACTGGTTGAAACGGTTGCTTATCACAGACTAAGAGGGAAAATGATCGACTAATTATAGGGTCTCTCGTGGGTTGCCCAATTCTTAGCTCCGTGACCTCTTTGTCTGCTTTGCCTATCGCTTTATACATCAATTTCAATAATCAGCCCACTAATTCGTAATCATTGGCCGGAACTTACAGTTCTTTACTCTTAGAACAAACGGACAGTATGTATATTTAGCCAGCAACCGCCATTCAGAGCTGGACCTCATAAAGCTCTATGTACTTTTGAATCTTTGGAAATATAATATCTTTTGAAATAGCAAAGATTGCACTTATGCACCTTGTCCTCCAAGCCTCTCAACTATGAATGGTAAAGAAGGACAATTTATACAATTCTCGTTTGCCAAAATAGTGAGCGGGGAGTTTTGAGAGCCCCGAAAAAAAGGCGGACGATCTGACAAGACTGTGATGGAAATTGGACGGAAGGGAGACAAAGGTGGTTTATTCAATTTCAACTGGAAGGAGCGTCAGGAGTCTTTAAAACCATTCCGATTCCGGTTTGCGGTAACTGCGACTGACTTAACGGCATGCGCTAGTTGTAAAACACCGCATTGTCATTAGCTGCGTTTACACGAGAAGTTCATTCAAGTCCAGGCGGCGGCGCCGCGGCTTGGACGCAGCTGTGCTAAAAACTTAGTTCCTTCGACGTAGGAATAATCAGCTGAGGTAACCTTTCTACTACTAGCCCCTCACCTCAAAGGCGCGATTAAGAGGCACTGCCAAAAAGCATATTAATTCGATGCCACCCCAGTTAGGTTAAAGACGTTTCAAAAATAATTTTAAATATTTTTGAATTTTTGTGATGAAATATTTTTAAAAATAATTTGAGGTTGCTCTTATTAAAGAATCGGACATATTTGTGACTTTTTTTTTTATTAAGCATTGTTCATTAGCGTTTCAAAAGATTTTTGACGATAATTATTGAGACGTTGGGTGCAGAAAGGTCATTTCTCAGTTGCGGTGTTTCAGATGCTTTGATGCTATTTATATGTTAGAGAGGAAACTATTGGGTAAATTTTCTGGCATTTTACGTTTCCAGCATGTTAAAATCATGAAAAATATTCATTAATATTTACAATAAATTATATATACATTTGCTTTAATCATAATGGATGAAACCTTAGCGGAGATTTTGAGACACCGCAACCAAAATATTCTCTTTCTGCACCCAGCACCTCAATTATATTTGTATAAACTTTTAGTGCAATTGTTAAAAATTTACGAAAGCGAATTTTGTGAAAAGTAATTTTGTGGGTTTCAATCAATGAATTTCGCCAAAAATCAGAAAAATCGACGGGTTTTCCGGGATATTAGGGGTGGGGGCCGCAGCGCCTTAAGGGGATTCTTTTAGAAAAAAAATTACAGAAGAAAAATGTCTTAATTTTGACCAAAGGACACACTCCTGCAGCAGTGCCGCGTTAAACCCTGGAACGCCGTGTATGTTTGTTGAGTCAAAATAACAGCGGCAAGGTTCAGTTTTTTTTCTTTTAAATTTTCCTTTTTTCCTGGTCGAAAATGCTGTTGTGATACTGCGAAACCTCACAGGTTTTAATTTCATTTTTTTTTTTTTTTTTTTTTTTTTTTTTTTTTTTTTTTTTTTTTTTTTTTTTTTTTTTTTTTTTTTTATCTTATGCTTTTATTTTTGCGGCCTTAGTCCCATTACATTTCAAGTTGATTTTGTATACGTTTTTTGATAAATACTGGTTAAAATCACACAAGCTACAGTCCATAGAGGAGTTAGAGAACGATGAAGAGGAAACACTCCAAAATGTGAAGAGGAAAGAAGAAATTACTCACAAACTGCCGGCGAATCCTGCCGCCTTGTTTTGGATGACTGTTGGCTCGGGCGGCTTGCACATGATGATTAGCTCCTGGTCAGACATCATGACGACGCCCGGGAACTGCGGGAACCACACTCGAACGTGCACGAACCCCTGCACACACCGAGACCATCAATTCCCTTTTTATTACGTTATTCCCTCTTTTACAAGTGTAATAAACGCATGCAAGTTATTAGTACATCTGCCCCAAAACTGCCCGCAGTCAAGCATTTATCAGCATCTTAAAGCACCGTTTTGCTTAAAAACAAAATCCACTCCATGTTCACATGCAACGAATTCAGGACCGTTTCAAGCAGGAGGCATTACATCAGAGGATTCTGACTTTGCGGTAATGTGTTGATTCACCCGGTCCGTCGGTTTCCGCAACATTCCATCTAAAAAAAACTCGTTTAATCCTTGTCCACCTGAGACTTGCTGCTGAGGCCAAGAAGGAAATTTTACTTGAAAAATATTTTCGTTTTATTCACTGAGTAGGAAAACATTTTTCACTCATTTTAGCTCATAAAGGAAGTTGTGTATTATCCAAATGTAATGATACAAGATGACTTTTGTTTTTTTAAAAAAATTCCATCACAAATCACAAAGATTTTTTAAATAATGCCATTATCAAATATTCAGTAGATACTGTGCTCTTCATTTACGCGGAAGCATGGGTTCATAAATCAGAACTATACAGTTACTTGAATCAAAGGAAACGGATGTTATAGAATACTGTACTGCGATTCACTCCACATACTTTTTTTCTAACAATCAGTGTTCTTCTTTTTTTCGCATAATAATCGACAAACGAAGAGGCATATTCAGTGTGGTAATTTTGGAGGATGCTCACCTCTGCTTTCTTCAAAACCCACTTAAGTGGACTACGTTGAGCGCTACGCAGACGTGGTAACTGGAAAATAAGGGGTCATGAAAACTGTTTTCGTAATGCGGCACCTACTGACCGCGTGGGCGCATTCCGCGGAAGCAAGGCGTAATAATGCTTGAGAGATAATGATATTTGATAATGTCTCAGTTCCATATTGTTCTTTGCACACTCGAATGGAGATGCTAGCGGCATGGGTTCACACTTATATGCAAATGCTACGTGCAATCCGCCCAGTTATCTGGCCATTATCAATCCTCCATTCTCCGTTACTGCAACCGGTGGCCCCGGCACCCGGGATCCGGCTCCAATTCTCGGGGAGCCCCCCCCCACCAGTGACGATCCTTTTGAGCCAGCAACACTATGCTCCCTCCATTCATCTCCATCGTGAAAAATCGATTCTTGGTGAGGCAACTTGCTTAAATTATATTGCACATGTTTAAAAGGACTGAGCCAGACTACCCTGGTAAAAATTGGCGATACGAGCTGCGTTTCAAAATACCATAGGAGTTCTTACAGCCGACTAAAGANCGGGGAGCCCCCCCCCCCCCACCAGTGACGATCCTTTTGAGCCAGCAACACTATGCTCCCTCCATTCATCTCCATCGTGAAAAATCGATTCTTGGTGAGGCAACTTGCTTAACCCAGAATCGATTATATTGCACATGTTTAAAAGGACTGAGCCAGACTACCCTGGTAAAAATTGGCGATACGAGCTGCGTTTCAAAATACCATAGGAGTTCTTACAGCCGACTAAAGAAGGCTATTGAAAATCATATAGCTGGCTGTAGAAAGCGGAGCAAATCATATAGCCGGGCTATACGAAGCTATAAAAAAGTATACAGTCGGGATATAGTTCCTATCGCCGGGTTTTACACTTTATCGTCATTGGCTATAAAAGGCTATAAGAAATTGTGTAGAAATTCGTGTGCTTTGGAAATCATTAAGTTTGATACGGAACTACCTTAATATTTACAAAACACACATTATATTTTCCTTTAAAACATATTTTTTTCATCAATGAATATGAGAATAGTCCATACAGAACGTGCAAACATTTCAAAGTCATGAGTTGAAAAACGCTGACTCCGCGAGATTAAATATTAGAGCCTACGCACTGGCGCCTACAAACCTAACAGGGATACTTCACGCATTGCGCAATGCTTGAAGTATCCCTGTTAGGTTTGTAGGCGCCAATCCGCATTAAGAATGACAGGCATCCTTCAAAAGTACGGAGCTTTCCTCGCAAAATAAATCAAGATACTACGGAACAAAAAGAGAGCAGTGGTCCAAAAACTCACCAAGTCCTAGCATCCGTAATTAGTGACGTTTAGCATACACGTTATCGCCTGGCTGTGAGCTGCTTAATCGCCATCGGCTATAAAAGGCTATAAGAAATTGTGTAGCCGGCTATAGAAGCTATTGGAAATCTTACAGCCGGCTTTAGGCCTATGGTATTTTGGAACACACATTCTACTGCCAATTTTTACCAGGGTAAGACTGAAGCCAAAGGGAAAATTGGGCAATCCTATTGGTTGAAGCAAGCGATTCTCATCATACACATCGATTGCGTTACACACATTTAAAGGACTGAGTCAGACTAAAACTGAAGCCAAAGGGAAAATTGGGCGATCCTATCGGTTGAAACGGGCGATTCTCATTGGCGAAGGAAAATGATGGACCAGCTATAAGGTCTCTCGTGGATTGCCGTCAGTAAGTCTATCGCTCACCACCTTCAGGCCCGGATTTGTACGTATTTGCCACTGGGCAACTGGAGTACCTATATAGGGAGAGTACGGTGATATCGATGTACCCAAAAGACCCAAAAGAACAGCCAACCTTTGAAAACCAAAAATATCACTGCCAACCCTCCGATTTCAATATCAAACCAAAATGGCCAAGAATTTTCACAATTAAGCGTTTTCCGCAAAAATGAGTAAATTCATGCAAAAACTGAGTCAAATCCACGATTTACAACGACAGATCGTATAAATTGTAATAATAAATCACTCTGGATAATTTGAATTTTTAGATTGGTTGCCCTTATGGGTCCAAAGGGCTCTATCACTTAAATCAAGTCGATTCAAATTATTATCAGACCGCTGCTGTGGTTATGCTAACTCTGATTATAAAACACACCCATATTGTGAAGCGATGCATTCTCAAAATCTTCTCGACTTCGCTCACTCACAGGGATTTCTCTGAAAGATGTATGTATGTATAAGCCGCTTTCACGGCGCGCTAGGGCGCATTGCGACGCCTACCCGCCACCTTAAAGATTCTTTTTTTTAGCATTTTCCCCATTTAGCAAATAAATGAGGTTTGACTTTACTTGAATCGGTCATTTAAAAAGGGGTCAAGCGCCACTTTGTTTTTTCTTTTTTTCTTACTCGGCTCAAATCTTACGAAAATGTTTGAAACAACTTTATTCAAACCTCAAATCAATTGCCTTCTTTACACATGAGAATTTTTCCGAACTCAAAGATTCAGAACGGGTCTGATTAATTTTCTTACAATTTTCTCGAATTCTCATTTTTGGCGATTAAGCCCTTTTGTAACTGACCGATTCAATTTGCGTTCGCTCAATTTTCTCTTAGTCCTCTATATCTATCAGTTTCAATAATCAGCCCGTAACCACCACGACGAGGCTCCAAAGTCAAGGTTGCCTACCCAGGAGCGTGGCAGGCGGCGCATTGTGGATCGAGTCGGGTGACAGGTCGAACAATACATTTTTGACTAAAACTGCAAATTTTGATGTTTATTTCGTCACATATTGAATTTCAAGGGGTGTTTTTGGAAGAAACTTTTACGAGGAAACCAATGAGACCACTTGTAGAACCTCAAATTTGTGTATAAACGGAGTTATGAGCGATTAAAGTTTCCAAATTTTGTCCGACCTCTCCTATTGACTCTATCCACTGTGCGGCGCGGCACGTACTCGACTCAGGAGCGCGATTCGGTTACTTCCGGACGGAGCGAGTTAAATGCGACCCGTGGAGTTTAATATGAAAAGAGGAGGAAAACGGAAGGGAAGGGGGGGAACATATTCAGAGACTCCGGAGAATTGGGTCATTCGGATCGTGGCTCCTGATATAACTGACCCGTTGCGTCCTCGTCGTCCGTCGTCGTCGTCTCAGATATGTAAATACTCCCTCGCCTTCGGTGGCGCGCGACGGCCACCGTCCACGCTCCCGAGGCACGAGGCACCGCAGCGGAGTTTCCAACACCGCCAGCGTCGCGTCTTCGGGACGCTCATACTGACGGGCCAAAGGAAAACCCGACCGGACGTTGCTTCATTTCTGCTCCAAACATGGAGTTACTGTGCCAATGGCGCGGCGTGCTTTGCGATATATCGATTGATCTGAAAAAATGTTATACAGGAGTTTAAACCACCACACAGGTCGTTACATTGGTAAAATTTACAAAAATTTTAAAAAACTTTTAAAAAACACTTAAAAGCACTCTTTTGCATAAAATTGTAATTTTGAAGCGGACGCGTTTCGGGGGTGTCGCGACCTTCGTCCTCGGCGCAACTGGTCCCCCTTCTTTTAAAGTTTTATAATATTTTTGTAAATGTTTTAAATTTTTTTTAAATTTTAACAATCGATCGATCTACCATTGAAACCTTTGGGAAAGGATGTTCGCAACGAACACCTCAATAATCGGTTCTCACCATAGCTTCAAATGGGAAAACATCGAAAATTGATCATTCACGCCTCCAACCACGCTTTCCTGGTGCCTCCAAATAATATTCTCCGGAATGAATCCTAACATAGCTGAAAATTTTGAGGAAAAATACAGATTTTCCCAAAATTAAACTGCCGGAATAAAAAATGGTTCAAATCGTCGTTACTCTCATGAGGAGCTGTAGCTACACTTCAATTTTGCCAAAATTTCCCGCGAGAATTGCATTTTTACCCGGAGAATCTTGGGCATTTCTAACTGAAAATTCAAGCGCGCTGGTATTGGAGGAACAAAACACTCAAACGCGCTGTTTTGAGGGAACAAAACTGTCGACTGCGTTATTCTATGTGTCGGGTAAAATTCTGCGAAAACTTCACGGAAAAAAAGCACGAGGTTGTTGGATGGTATGGACATTTGTAATTAATTGTGGTAGTACCCCAATAAAGTAGGTAACTAACCCAAATGTTGCGGCACTACCCTAACTTGAGTTGCGGTACTACCACAATTAATTAGGAATGTCAATATCATCCAACAAATTGGGGTGGTACCATAATTTTAGGGGATAACCCCTGACACTTTTTTTCCGTGTTGAAATTAGGGAACCTAAATTTATTTTGGGGAAACCTTTGGATGTCTGCACCTTGCGTGGTTTTGCACTTCAGCCATCGAAATAACGTATCGTGCGTATTCTGGCAACATCTGAATGGTCATACGGCGTTGTTCCTTAGCAGGGAAGGATCGATCCACCAGCCATCTGGACAGCGGTGAGGAACATCATGTTTCTACTTAAAAATGAGCCGTGGTAATGGGACGTTCTTGTACGGTCGAAGGCTCATTCTCGACCACGGATTGTGCCTCGTTTAACGCTGTCCACTGTCCGACCGGACTCACGATCTACAAGATGTCCGGCGGATCTCTATCCTCCTTGACAAAACAGCCTCTGAATTCGTAATTGTCGTGTAGTACTGTTACTTGTTACGAATTCGGACTGTCTAGCGGCTTATGACTGATATCTGATGGATGCTGTCCGCGACAGCCACAACTCCGTTTCCTAAAATTGAGGCACCGGACAGAACAAGGTCACTCCTCCAAGAGATTGTTAGTTCCTGGAGCATTTGTATATTTGCTCCTGATTTCGCTGAATGGGTCACTAGACCGTGAACGAATTTTGACTTGCGGATATATTTTCCACAGGTAAATGACGTGTAAAACACAATGCGCACATTAAAAATGCGGAAAATTAACTCGGAAACCGTGAACAACGAGTTCGAAAAGCGCAAACTTTCCGCAAATTTAAAACGCCCCGGTTTAGAGCCGAACCGAATAACGTCATCCGGCACAAATCAGAATCGAGCACGGGTTTCTATACGACTTACGTCAAATGTTTTTCTACTTCTGGTATATGGAAATAAAAGGAAAGTCGAAACTGTATCTTCAGAATCAAAAAATCGAATCTCTTTCATGTTATCTGCGGTCAACAAGCAACATAATTCCACATTGGAACCCCTGGTAAAAATTGGCAGTAGAATCTGTGTTCCAAAATACCATAGACCTACGGCCGGCTGTAAGGTTTCCAATAGCTTCTATAGCCGGCTACACAATTTCTTATAGCCTTTTATAGCCGATGGCGATTAAGCAGCTCACAGCCAGGCGATAACGTGTATGCTAAACGTCACTAATTACGGATGCTAGGACTTGGTGAGTTTTTGGACCACTGCTCTCTTTTTGGGCCGTAGTATCTTGATTTATTTTGCGAGGAAAGCTCCGTACTTTTGATGGATGCCTGCAATTCCTAATATATTAGAGCGCCTTCAGTTTCGTATGATAATGCAATACCTCTGGTGTGAAATAGTTGCTTCAAGCGCCGAGGCACGCTGCGGTGTGGCAGGCGGGCAGCCAGCGCGGAACGCGCATTGGCGCCTACAAACCTAATAGGGATACTTCACGCGTTGCGCAATGCGTGAAGTATCCCTGTTAGGTTTGTAGGCGCCAGTGCGTCGCCGCTCCGCTTTCTGTTAGGCTCTAATATTTAATCTGGCGGAGTCAGCGTTATTCAACTCATGATTTTGAAATGTTTGCACATCCTGTTTGGATTATTCTCGTTTTAATTGATGAAAAAAAATATGTATTAAAGGAAAATATAGTGTGTGTTTATAAATATTAAGGTGATTCCGTATCAAACTTAAGGATTTCCAAAGCACACGAATTTCTACACAATATCTTATAGCCTTTTATAATCGATGGTGTAAAAGCAACAGCCAGGCGATAAAGTATAAAGCCGGGCATAGGAACTATAGCCCGGCTGCATAATTTTTTATCGCTTCGTATAGCCCGGCCGTATGATTTTCTCCGCATTCTACAGCCAGCTATATGATTTTCTGTAGCCTTCTTTAGCCGGCTATAAGAATTCGTATGGTATTTTGAAACGCAGCTCTTATCGACAAATTTTAAATTCCTCCAAGTCTGTTGACGTTTTAAAAGCGTTCTTGTCTAGGATTTTGGCTCCAAAAATACACACTGAATCATCAAGCAATCTATGCACCTAGCAGTCCCAAAATATTCAGCGAAAAACACAAGGTTTAATGACTCATTTGTACCACGTTAAGTGATTGCGCCTCGGTTTTTAACTGGACCGCGTTGAGTAGAAAGGAACCATACCACATCAGCTTTTGCCAAAACACTGGGCAATTTACTTATTCTACAGGAGAACTTTTTTGCGAATTTTCTTGGAAATCGTAAGGAATTTGCTCTGTACTATGCAGAAAATTCACTAAAATTTGCACCAAAATCCACACAACCGTTTTCAAATAACGATTAATTGCCCAAATAAAGGCTGATTTTAGCTGATTTTTTTTTTTTATTTGCACAAAATATTTAACATCGTACAATATCACATTTAGACATATTAAATGTCTTTGAAATGCTTAATCTTAACTCAGCTTATCTTAAACTAGCTATTTATTAAGGTGAAACTTAAAGTGTACTGCCTAAAACTAACTGGAGTGTAAAATCGAACATAATTATTTTGAAATAAAAATGTCTTTTCATTCTAACTGGATTACGACGGGCTGACCCGTCCAAAGACCAAGTGTCTCCTGACAAGTCCTCAGAGCAATAGGAGGCGCTCAAAGATTTTAATTATTATGGAAATAATTTTGAAAAACCATGGATTCCAAGCTCATGTGTTTTCCTGCGTTTTAATCTCCTTACGCCATCATCCTTGAACAGCAGTGGCATTAGCTGATGTGGCTTGGTCCTCCTCTGCTCAACGCGATTCAATTTTAGTTGCATAAGTCATTGACCTTTGAGAAGTCATTCAAGTACACTGATAAACAAAGAATCTTATTTGCCGCCAAGAAGTATTTTTTCTTAAATCAAGAATTTTGCCGCTTAATACAAATTACTTTTTTGCTTAACCCAAGCATTATATTTCTTGTATCAAGAAAAATTCAACTTAAATCGAGATAAAAAAAATTCTTGGCGGAAAATTCAAGAATCATCATGCTTAAACCAAGCACCTTTTTTTAAGTGTACTTTGCGAAATATACTCACATTGCGGCGGAGAACACCACACCGGGCGAAATCCGATATATGAAGGTTGTAGGTGAGACCCGTGGGGTCCGTGTGATCTGGCCTTATTTGGCAAAAGGGATCCATGAGAGGGTCCACTGTCCTGTCATCGGCGAACAGGGGCGAGCCCTTGAATCCCTCGGGCTTCCTCAGCCGCGCCGATATCGAATCTTTCATTCCTACTAGTGCTTTGCCGCTTCGTGCTGTGTCACTACTGAATGTGCATTGGATATCTGAAACTGATGACAAATATGTTTCAATAACATGTTGTTCTCAAGATTAATATCATGTCAAAGATTCAAATTAATTTACGAAATCAGGTCAAATGAGGGGAAGAACTTTCGGGAGGGATAGTTTGTAGTATTAATCGACGGTTTAAGTCCGCAACCAAGTATTTCGTTTGCGGTGTTTGAACATTTCCGTACCTGTTTGATTTTTTTAAAGAAAAACAAATTGACATCATTCCTTGAGGTTTTGTAGAATTTTCTTCGTTCCGAGAAGAAAAATCAGGGCAGTTTTCAGAATTTCCTCGGTGTTCTTTTTTATTTAGAAAATAAAGTATTCTAGGAAGTCTGCAACGTCGCAAACTGAGGTACGTAGTGCGGACCTACATCGTCGAAATGACAGCATGCATGTAAGGAGAATGCTAAAGTGTTGCATTCCTTCTCTTTCAAGACATAGAAAAGGATTAATTTGGGGTCTTCCACAAAATACGTAACGTTGAAAATGAGAATGTTTTACTCCTTCACCCTCCCTTCCCAATCGTGACGCACATATAACATAAGTCTGCACCCCCTTAAAAATTTTACGTAACGCCCATTGAGACCCTTCCCCATAAATTAGAGTTTTGTGATGAATTTTAGATGGAAAATTGCCACTTTCGTTGAATATAGCTTAAAAGTTCAAATCGTCGGCTACCTGACAATAGGGCGGAAGTATACACTGCAATGAACCCTGTCTTCTATACAATTCAATACTTTTCTAGGCTCATCTTAATGTGTAGCTACGCCCTTATGTCAGACAAGCGACGAAAAATACAATTTTCTTCTTCGCTTAAAAGCAATTCAGGATGCAGAAGTCACCTCTTTCCGAAAGCGTGTAAGATTCTCATCACAGAATTTCAAAAAATAAGTCCTGCTCCTTCTTAACATTGATTGTGGAAGTTACGGACCTTGTCGAATTAAAGAAATAAGACACTTTTTAAAGTTGTTTTGCGTGCATTGTGAGCCACGCGAATAAAGCGAGGAATCAAAAGTATAACGAATTTCCCCCAAGTTATATTATGTGTCTCGTAGGCCAGGCGGATGGAATGAATGAACGAAATCGTGAAATGCAAACTAGGAACAGTTCTGATGGTCATGGTGACAACATCCTTTCTCCGCTATGTTTCCATCATCCTCAAGTTTCATTAACCTATTTTCCGGCCGCTTTACTGGAATCTCCAATTTCACTTCTGCCATCCAGCTTGTCTTAAGTGAGCCGCTTATATTTGGTGTCAATGTTAATTTGACTAACGACACGCCGAGATCAAATGCGGCTGAGCCACGACCATCCTTAGAAACGTACCGTCGCAGTTGCCAAGGTGAGCAGACAATGCTCCATTTTCTTGGAATGACGTAGTTATTCAAAACAATGGAAATACGATAATGCGATACTCCGCTATCTACACGATGACCCAAAAGTCTCGTGTTATCATGAAGCATCATCCCTCATACGTAATTTTAGAACAAATGAAGGCAGAGCCTGTATAATTTTTTAAATTTCTTGAGTACTCCCAGTTCAAAGGAAACAACTTTTTGACCCCCCACAATTTTAGGGTGACCACCGACCACCCTGAAAGGGGCAAGATACGTGGGGCTTGGGTGCTCTGTGACTTCAAACCTCCCGCCCGCAAAAAAAAATTATTGACGTAGATAAAATTAGGCATTGAAAACAACCCATGCAGACGTTAGGTAAATAATTAAAGCTAGGTTTCATACCCATTTCTTCTGCGATAGAGTTTTTAGTATTTTGAGTACCAGATGTCAATGAAAAGTGAAATTATTAGGAATTCCCTCATTTTCAGCTTTTCCTACTTAAATCCTAAAATTTTTGTTTGAGGATATGTTCCATTGTTTTGAACCAAACGATAGAACGAACCATTATCGAATACGGTCCATGGACCATTTTCATGATCCATGGCGAAAATTCACCTATTTCCTTCTGCGAGTTGGCCAAACGCCGAACATGCAACGTGAGGATAATTTTAATAGCTTCCGATCCGGAACGAAAGGAAGAATTGCCGGAGGTGCGCGCTTCACATCGTCGCCGTCGGAAGAGGGTCACCGAAAGGAAAAATTCTCACCGCGAACGAGCTACGACGAGCGTGCGGGCTGCGGATTCGCGCGGGACGCGGGGAGAAAATGACGGACACCTTTTTCGCACGGTCGACATTGACGGTGAAACGGCGGCTCATCGGGTATTTTTGTTAAATCAATAAACGCTAAACAGAGGCCTCGGAGCCTCGAGCCGGGCCGATGATAATGGAAACGTCAAAAGTAGGGTGCGCTCATCGTGTGAGTCGCGTCGGCGGCGGCGCTCAGCCAATCAGGGCCCACGCGAGCCACCGCAACCGACCCGCGTCACGACGCCCGATCAGCTCACTTAAGTCCTATTCTAAGGATTCATTCAATTGCATCCTTTCGGCGAAAAGAAAGTTCCAGAGTGATCTGTGGACTTCTATAGGAATGTCCGCAAGGGCTAAAGGCTGAAGCTGAAAGATGCAGGGAGGGAGCAGGGTGAGCAGGGGGGAGCAGGGAGGGAGCAGGGTGAGCAGGGGGGAGCAGGGAGGGAGCAGGTATGGAACAGGTATGGAGCAGGGAGGGAGCAGGGAGGGAGCAGGGAGGGAGCAAGGAAGGAGCTGGGAGGGAGCAGGGAAGGAGCAGGGAGGGAGCTGGTAGGGAGCAGGGAGGGAGTAGGGAGGGAGCAGGGAAGGAGCAGGGAGGGAGCTGGGAGGGAGCTGGTAGGGAGATGGGAGGAAGCTGGGAGGGAGCTGGGAGGGATCAGGGAGGGAGCAGGGAGGGAGCAGGGAGGGAGCAGGGAGGGAGCAGGAAGAGAGAAGGAAGGGAGGAGGAAGGGAGCAGGGGGGTGCTCCTCCAAGTGATACAGCACCCTGGATAACCCGGCCCTAGATACGGATTTATTCTATCCCTTTACGTGGCACTCGTTTCTGTGAATTCCGTCAGAGTGCTGTCGCCAGTCGAAAGCGCCTTCAGTTTAGCGCGCTACTTCACCGCCCACACCAGAGTTGAAATATTTGTATCCTAAGCTGCCGTGTAGAATCCTCAGCTTTCCGAACATTCATGATTGTCTCGAGTTTTATGGACAAACCTTTATGGAAACTGTTAGAAGTGGTACTTCACAAGTATTCACCGAGGCTTCATACTTCCGGACCGGCTGTATCACATCTTGTACGGATTGAAACTCTAGTTTATCTGTGGTTAAGATCGAAAAGCACTCTGAGCTCTTAATGAATTTTAATGGGAAGTTAAGACTCTTCATTCCAAAATACTCTATCATAACCGAAAATGTCTTCCAGATCTTAAAATGTATCATACCAATCAATAAGTCCCCTAATTATACTCTATAGCATAAAATCATACGATAGTTACGCATAACGCATAACACCTTTTACGGGAAGCGCTTAGGAGTGTTGGACTCCAAAGCGGTCAAAGAACGTGAGCTTCTTGTACAACATTAAAATATTTGCTTTTACAAGAGGTTTCTGCTCCGGAGATGGTGGAGTCGGCCTCCATTCAAGCGACAGTGGCATGCTTCTTTTGTTTTTAATATACTGAAAATTATGCTTCCTCTTTGATTTATCGGAAAAAAGTACGCTCACAAGTATTTTCTCTCTCGGAGCTATTTTTCGACGGGAAAGTTACAACTAGGATATAAGATAGATTTCGTGACTTTCCGGCGCCTAAACCATCACTCTCCATTGTTCCACTTATTGTTAGTGCCGCAGAAGTGTGAAGTGGCGCTTGTAGGAATGTGATGGCCCCTAGTCAGGGAACGCCGCGTCGTATTCTTTCACCAAAGAGTTATCAAGAGATTATAAATAGATCGGTCTCTCTCCAAGCGTGACTGATTGACTGGGTCATACCTACCCGATGTTGCCGTTTCTTAGTCCCTCTGCCATTACTTTCAGGCGGACCAATTGTATAGGGCAAGTTGTGAAAAAGTGATAGTTTGAGTAAAAAAATCTGTACCAGCAATGCGGAGAACGTAGTTCAAATGGGCTTATTTATGCTAAATGGAGCCACGTTGCGCGTAAACCCTATGAACATATTTCTTTTTAGCATAAATACGCCTAAATTACCATATGGACGGTGTAAGTCCGCAAACACGTATCCCGTTCGTGGCGTTTGAAAATCTCCGCTCCTATTTTATTTTTTTAAAGGAGAACAAATTGACATCATTTCTTAAAGTTTTTGCAGACTTTTCTTCGCACAGAGAAGAAAAATCACGGCAGTTTTTTTTTAAAATTTTTAATGAGTAGTTTTTTAATAAAGAAATAACGTATGACGAGAAGTCTGCCACGTCGCAAAGCGGGATGCGGGCTTACAACGTGGATATGAAAAATCTGCCGTATAATATGCCACGACATCGTATTATTATGGTTGACTGGTGCACAGTTTTACAAACTAAAGTAATCAAACATGATGTGTAACGTTAAAGTGATTAAATTAAAATTACGGTAAAAAATCTATGGATGACGTTATCTTCTATGTAATCTGGACAATGATACTGCCTAATATTATTTCTCCCACGTAATAAAAACACAAATGGTAATGATGCATACTGTTTTGGTAGATGACGTCCTTCAAATCTTTTTCTAGGAGTGATATCTTTGTAAATGTTGGATGAGTAATTTTCGCCTTTTGGCAAATTTCATTTCATCGCCGTTTAACCACCAAAATACTATACTGTGATACCGGCTACACACCAATGCGATAATTGAATTCAAACATCTTCGTATCATTAAGTTTTGGCTACTGTATAATCGTTTTCTTCAATTGAAAAAATTCGAAAATTTTAGCAGAATTGACTGTTGCAACGGATTTGCGAATTTTTGTCATCCCTGGTAAAAATTGGCAGTAGAATCTGTGTTCCAAAATACCATAGACCTAAAGCCGGCTGTAAGATTTTCAATAGCTTCTATAGCCGGCTGCACAATTTCTTATAGCCTTTTACAGCC